CGCGGTTGTGGACCCGCGGGACTCAGGGAGAGCTGGCTGCTGCCCCTGGGAAGCAGCGTTCAGGTGTGGGGCATGGGGGCGGCGGAGTTGGCAGGGCTGCTCTTTCCCCTTGAGGCCCCTGCAGCATGGGCAAAGTGTTGCCAGAAACACCTGGGGTTTGTTACCTGTGTGATTTTAATTCTTTTTCCGTCCTTGTGCTTTCAGAAACCTTTATACTGTTGCCAAGTTTTTCTCGAACACTCCCCCTACCCCCACAACACACACACATTTAAGAAGTTTTGTGAGAGTGTCCCCGTGTGCAAGTGCAAGAACATTTGCTTATAGATTCTAGGAATTGTGGAGTGGCAAACATGGGTATCTCGCCAAAAGTTGGAATTTTGGGCTGAATTTCTATTGCAGCCCAGGGAGCCAACAGCTTACATTCAAAACCTCGTATTAATGGTAGAACTATAAATAATGTGTTCTTTTTACAATAGCAAGAAGTCCCCATACCGTGTGTGTGCTCGCAAGGAAAGTAAGAGTGGGCAGGTCATCTAAGCTCTTTATCAGTAAAGGCTGTTTGCCGCGACGTTAAAGTCAACCATAGAGAGGAAGGCATTTCGGCAGGAGCCCTCAGGTGGCAGAAATCACAAGGAAGCTGGGATGGCTTGGTTCATTCCCAGTCGATTTCAAAACAAGACCAGGAATACAGAAGGTCATTTCATCTAAGTGGGGTCAATTCATTAAGCGGACAGAATAACTCACCGTGTTAATGCACCTAATAATTGAGCTTCAGATATGGAAAGCAAAATGGCATGGAGAAATGGGCCATTCCACAAGTATCGTGATTTCAACACCTGTCTCTCCGTGATTAATAGAGTTGTTGCTAGGGGCTGTTGAATGAGATCGGCAGCATAGTGACCTCATATGTGACAGTGAGGCACTGCCGCCGCGCCCCGCTCTACCCTCACGGTTGCTGGTGTCTCTGAGCCCCTTGTGGACAGCAACTATGTCAACTCACCTTGTGTCTCCTTTTGTCTTGCTGACCCTGCACCAGGCC